GTGGCATCAATACCTGTAGACAATTTGTTCATCACATTAATTTGCTTTGAACAAATCATACTAGTGTGCCAAAAAAAAACAGAAATGAAATTTATGTATAGAAAGTTCTTTATTTTTTTCTTTCTGAAAAAACACACTGTTTAGAAGATCAAGGAGAGTGTGCATTCACCTATTCATCTTTTAAGTAGAAAAAGAGTAGCTAGCAGTTCCAGCATTATATATATGTAACATACAAAAGGAAAAATTGAAATTGATGGAAATAAACTAATTTAGCTACCAACAAGTTCAATATCAATTTGCTATTTGGTTCAGTCAACTAATCATGCATGAACCTGATCAATTCTTGACAACAATTAATTTGTTTGATTTACCAATATGGAGTATATTACTATCAATTTATATGCACCAGTGAATATCTAGCTAGCCAGTTCTTAAAAAAAATTAAGTGCCACAAGATGGCAATTAATGGTTTATGGTTGTAGGAACCAAACCAAAACTAAAAACTAAAGCTGCCTGACTGGTTGTGGTTGATTGGTCCCCAATGCACACTATATAAACTTTAGGGTTTTTTTTTTCAGTGTATATGTTGTGATGTCTACTTGGGCAACCAACCATTCCCACGGGGCTCAATGCAAATGCATGTCTTTTTAATTCCCTCACAATCTGCAAGCCATCATTTGGATATGATGGTGTTTTTTGAGTACACTCCTTTTTCCATGACTAATTGCATGATGTGTCTAGATATATGCATATATATTATAGAGTTTGACCCACATATATATAACGATATGATGATTGGATGCACTAGTGATAAAAGACGAAGTCATCTCTTGTTTCCACTAATCTAGCTTCTCTGTTGGCGCGCATAATTCAGCTTAATTAGGTCGACAATTTTAGTGTTAATTCGTGTAACCGGAGGACATAAGAATGTGGAGTATGTTGTATCTCCTGGTAATTAATTAAGTAGGTAAAAAAATCCTTCTCATAGCATAGCAATAAGAATATATATATTGATAGATGAACAATGCATGTGGAATTAATAATGCTTCTTATTAATAGGGGTGAAAATGGGGCGGGTATTTCCCGCCCTCCTGCCCGGCCACATTATTTCGGGACAAATTCGGGTACCCGAGACTTTTCACGGATATCAGGTCCGAATACATGTCTTTTTTGGCGGATATAAGATCGGGTTCGGAAATATAGTATCCGATGGATACGGATTATCCGGTAAAAAATTCGGGTTTTACCCGGATAATTATACGGATATTACCTATATTATGTTTTTGTGAGGCATTTTTTGGTACTATGTATTGGTTCTGCTATGATGTATTATACCCTATTTATTTCCTAAGTTCCTAATGGCCTAATATAATTGTATTATGGATATATGGAATTGTTAAATGGTTATTGTCTATGTGATATATAAGGTTGTTGCTTCGACTTGATATCCGAATAAATATTCGTAACCAATAGTGTGTGTATCTATTTTGGTACGTATTTGTTCCATATTTTTGCCCGACATTATACGAGTTTGTATCCGTATTTGACACTATCCTTGTCCGACCCGATTCCGATTATAAAATGTGGGTTAGGATATGAAAAGGTTGAGATCTGACCGAACTCGATCCGTTTTCACCCCTGCTTATTAATGGATAAACCTTTGCAAATTGGGTGAAGTATACCTGCTAGAATCGAGAATTCAACAATATATGATTTACTTATCTAACAATCTTTATAAGTTATACACCCTATGGTAACAAATATTGTTTGATTTTTTTAAAAAAACTTAATAAATGCAGGAAAAACTAATTTAATATTTTCGAGGATACGTATATATGCACCGGCGCTCTGAGGGTGTGTTTGAGGAGAAAAAAAGAGAATATTAAGAAAAAAATAGTGAGTCATTAGCGTATGATTAATTAATTACGTATTAATTATTTCTAACTGAAAAACAGATAAATATGACTTTTGAAACAATTTTTCTATAGATTTTTCTTAATAAAAACACAACAGTTTCTTCTCTTTGTTTTTAAAAAACATGGTGAGACTTCCTTTTTTTTAAAAAAAATAAATAAAAGTTTTCCTCTCCTTGTGTTGCTGCCGAACGCAGCATAATAATTGTTAATATATATATATATTAAGCGTCATATAGGAGTTTTTATGTTTCATTAGTACACAAACATTTAAGGTCAAAGCTGATTAATTATGACTTAAAAACTATACTAGCTAGCTAGTAAAAAAAGCTTAATTATTACTCCCTTCATTTTTTTTCTTTGACGTTGGTTAGCTCAAAAATACATTTGTACAAGGAGGTAGTACTAACAAATACTTTCTCCGTATTTTAATATATGACGCCGTTGACTTTTTATTAACGATACGGAGGGAGTAATATAATTCAAGGTCTCTCTCCTCACCTCTGTTACAAAGCGAGGCGGCAGGACAAGGAGACCGGCGAGGCTTCGAGCTAGCTAGCAGTTGGCGGTGGCCGCTTTCCCCCCCGGATAGAATATCACCCGGTGCGCGCGCTTTCTACGCCGAGACCTAGAGAGAGAAAGGAGAAAGAGAGAGAAACAAAGCACCTAAAGCAACAAAGAGAGGTGTAGAGAGAGAGAGAGATGAGAACATATCATCAAGAAAAGAAGCTAAGAGAGATCAAGTGATGTGGTCGTCGCCGTAGCAGCAGTACAGCTTCTCTACCAACACCGTAGTCCTTTCTCTCCTCCTCCCCCTCCCCTCCTCGTTCCGCGTGCCGCGAGAGGATCGAACCCTATTCCTTTGTTCTTGAATCTCTTCCAAATCTGTAACAGAGAGAGAGAGAGAGGGAGGAGATCTAGTGAGTCTAGAGAGAGAGAGAGGTTCTTAAGAGGAGGAGGAAAGCTAGCTAGGAGAATAGAATGTTCCCTTCTTCTTCTCCTTCTCCTTCTCCTTCCTCCTCCAAGAAGCAGCAGCAGCTCAGTGGCGGCGTCGGCGTCGGCGGCGCCGCGGCGGCGGCGAGCTCGAATGATCGGCCGCCGTTGTGCGTCCAGGGTGACTCCGGCCTCGTCCTCACCACCGACCCCAAGCCACGCCTCCGCTGGACCGTCGAGCTCCATGACCGCTTCGTCGACGCCGTCACCCAGCTCGGAGGCCCGGACAGTACGTAGCTACGCTCTATACATGACTGATCTTGATGCTGAGAATTTGATTTGATTTTATTTGGTTCGAGTTCGGTTCTTCTTAATTAATTACTTGTATGTTTCATGATCAAACTCTTGATCAATTGTAAATTACTTGTATGTTTCATGATCAAACTCTTGATCAATTGTAGAGGCGACTCCAAAGACGATCATGAGGGTTATGGGAGTCAAGGGACTCACACTTTACCATCTCAAGAGCCATCTTCAGGTGTGTGTGCAGTACATATATAGATCCATGTCTATATATGGTTTTCTAGTTGCACTAGCTAGCATGGTTAGAACTAGGGTTAGCTTATGCTCTCTCTCTCTCTCTCTCTCATGTTTTGTAGATTGTTGTTTTTCAGAAATTCAGACTTCTGTATCTCTGGATCTCTCATGTGTTGTAGATTGTTGTTTTTTCAGAAATTCAGACTTGGGAAGCAGCACAAGGATTTCAACGACCACTCGGTTAAGGATGGTAAACACACGATCTACTTGTTAAAATAGCATATTACATTCCTAATTGTGTTCTTATAATTAGCTGGCTAGTTAGCTTGTTAGTTTGTTCGCACATGCATGTTTTTCCTTCCTTTAATTCCGCTTGTTAAAGTTTACCGACTTGATATATGTTAGCAGTGAATTTCTGTTTCGTTTGTACTAGCTAGCTATTTAAACAGCTTAATTTACTTACCATGATTCTTTCAGAATAGTTAATTTCACACTTTCTCTGAATATAATCAAAAGGTGAATTATATTCAAACTTATATTCGTCCATTTTCCCACTGCAGCAATGGACATGCAACGGAATGCAGCGTCTTCTTCGGGCATCATGGGAAGAAGCATGAATGAGTAAGTTGATTTTTTTTTCATAGAGTACCCTAGCTAGATTAGGTTGTTCATTAATTCAAAATGTGGTTTTTAATAACTATCTTATTATTCAAAATTTCTATGAATTGTTAGCCGCAGCGTGCATGTGAATGAGGCACTAAGGATGAAGATGGAAGTTCAGAGAAGATTCCATGAACAATTAGAGGTAATTAAGAGCATTGTCAGAAACAAATTAATTTTCTGTAATTCAGCATGGTGTCAAATTAATCACATACTGAACTTAATAGCCCAAGAAATTACTTATTAATTTGCTTTGCTTTATTCTGCATATGCTCCTTCACATGTTGCCTTTGAACTTTTGCATGCATGCATGAACGTTCTTGGGAAGTTTACATGCTTGTGGACAGCTTATATGTCAATGTTTGTCCTTCACATGTTCTGAAAATGAGATGCATCCATGCAAGAACATTCTTGGGAAGTTTACCTAGCTAGCACAACTTTATTTTTTTCCTATACTCATCTGTGGCACTCATGAGTTTGGCATATATGCATTTTCTTTGGACACAAAAGAAGTGAATATAACTAACTTTGCATGCAGGTGCAAAAGCACCTTCAGATGAGGGTTGAGGCCCAGGGGAAATACATGCAGACCATCCTGGAGAAAGCATACCAAGCCATCTCGTCCTCAGGAGATTGCGCCACGTGGCACGCAGGATACAAATCTCTAGGCAGCCAAGCTGTCCTTGACATTGGCAGCTCCATGAGCTTCCCTTCTCTGCAAGATGATCTGCAGTTATATGGAGGAAGCCATCTAGATCACCTGCATCAGCAGCATGAGCAGATGGAGATCAGGCCATCAATTGATACCTTCTTGGCATTCAATTACAGCTCCAGTACTGGGAAGAGCCCAATGGTGTGGCCCGGCGCCGACGACGGCGGCGGCGAGCCGGCGAAGATCTCCGGCGATCATCAGCTCCAGATGGCGGCGCCGGCGACGACGACGATGATGATGGAGGCCATCACCATGTCAGGAGGAGACTCCATGGGCAGTAAGGGGTTTGAGGGTCAGATGAGCTCTAAGCTTGACATGAGATCACCACCTCCACAGCAAACAGTGCTACCTGTAGGAAGTGAGAGGATGAGTAGTCCAATTGTTGGAGCCAAGGCTAGGAACATCTCCTATGGGTAAACTAATTGATGATGAATTGAAGAGGTAATTATATTAACTGCATGTTTAATTTTGTGGTGAAACCAGCAAGCAGGCTGAACTGATCTTGCAAGATCACTGAATAAGCATATGTAACTGTCTTGTTATTAGTTGGGAGAGTATACAAAAGTAGTATTGCATTATGCATCGTTCAATTAATTAGGATGCATCCATGCATGCAATTAATTAAGTTCTTGAGAGAGGAGGGTGATCTAGATAATTAGTCGTGCCTACATTCTTAATTTTGGCTTAAAGTTTGTAAATTTTAATTTTGTGTTGTCTTAATTCATCCATGCTTGTCTGAACATTAACGAAAGTTTTCTTATATATATGTATTTGGAGTCGTGTCACAGTACGGCATGCATGCATGTGATAACATGTTTTTACTCATGGGTAAATATTTTAAGGATATAATTAAGTGCAAGTGCTTGATCGATCGTTTCATGAAATTCTAGAAAGGTGGATTTACAAGTGGAGAAAAAAGAACGTACCTAAGATACCGAAAATACAGCAGTGTTCCTAGCTGTTAGATTTTAGTTAGTTCCCCTATCCATGTATCTGATGTATCTAGCTACTACGTACAGTCAACATATATATATCCTGGCACTCCAATTAATGGACGTTACTGCCAATTATCCTGGAGACTGACTGCTTACGGGCAATCCAACTAATCCAGTCAAAGGAGGAGGAGCGCTCGGAGTTAGCTTTCCTTGTTAGGGAGATAAGAAACCTCATGGCTGGGAATAGGGATATTGTTATTCTGAAGATTCATCGTAACTAGAATAGTGTTAGCCACGCCCTGGCTAATAAAGGGCGTAGCGAGGCTTTAACTGCTTTCTGACCGGCCGGATGATACTTGTAATTTTATCTCTCACCTGTTGGGTGCTGAGTATGAGTAATATATCCCCGTTCATTGCAAAAAAAAAAACATATATATACTTGCATGTCATCTAGATTATATTAACATTATTTCTAGAAATTTTCATGATTATTACTCGGGGCCTGGGGGTAGGCATTTAAAAAGATTATTAATGAGCCCAAGCACTTAAAAATGTTATATATTATTGGCGTTCCTTTTATCGATCAACTACTAGCCAAAATTACTCGTTTGTTGCTATGGATTATTAAAAGGAAAAAGTATAAATTACCCCCCCTGAAATATTGGATGAGTACGAATTATCCCCTAAACTTGAAAACCAGTCAATTTTCACCCTCAACTATCGATATTGGATGAATCCCCCCAGCAGCTTTACAAACGGTTTTGGTTTACGTGGCAATCCAGTCAGCAATTTTTTTCTTTTTAAATCAGCGGGCCCCACATGTCAGTCTCTCACCCTCTCTTTTACCCCTCACCTCTCTACCTCTCTCCAAAATCCTCACTCTTCTCGCTTCCTCACCTTGAGGACGGCGGCGGGCAGGAGCGACGAAGGGGGCGGCGGAGCTCGGGACGATGTCGGGCGGAGTGGGCGGCAGCAAAGGGCGCCCGCAACCACCGGCGCTCGGGACGGTGGTGAGCTGAGCTTAGGGCTGAGGGGGTGGCGGAGCTCGGGGCAGCAGAGGACAGAGTTCGGGGCAGCGGGAGGAGGGGGCGGCGGAGCTCGGAGCGGCGGGTGGAGGGGACTGGCCCTCGTCGCCGGTGCTCTGTCTTCCTCTCACCGATAGAGAAGCAAAGAAGGGAGAGAAGGGGAGAGAGAAAGACCAACACTGCATAACAGCACAATTAAGCACTGTTCCCGAATCACGATGCAATGGCTTAATTTAAAGTAGCTAGCTCAAATATATCCACAGTTAATTAGCTTGGATTAATTTTGCTCCAATTATATCAGTGACTGAGCCCTGTATAGCATGATGCATGCAGCCTTTTCTTGCTGAGAGTGGAAGCTTCGTTTGTTCTGCGTCGCCTCCTTTCTGCAATGCTGCATATGTATGTACAGTCTAATGTCTATACACAGTGCCCCTGGAATTGCTGAACTTCACACTGCTTGTGCTAGTGTACAATTCAGAATTCAGATCATATCATATGGTCAGGGACACAAGCAACTGTTCTATTTTTTTTTCAGCAGCTGTTAAGATTAATTATTCGAGGTATAAATGAATGAAGTATTATAAAGTTAGGAAATAGATTTAAATTAAATAGTATTTACTATAAGAAATTCATATATGTACAAATTTTTCAAAAATCACGTATTGTTAAGAGTTTGAGAAACGTGTATGTTAATTCATGTTGGGGAATCCCAACAAGAATCGTGTTCGACCTTTAAAATCCCAATAATAATAAATAGAAGAGGCAACATGATAGGGTGGGGCAGTTGACGCGATATTAAAAAAATATAAAACAGAACCAAAATAACGATTATGTTTGATTTTTAAAAGCCCAATAACAATAAAGAGGAGGGGCGGTGAGCAGGTTGTACAATAGTAAAGATAACGGCGGGTATGAATCAGCCCATTTCATGCACCCCAATTATATTGGCTGTATAAAAAAACTGGCTGTTTTCATATCCCCTTGAGTACATGGGACTTGCAATTATATATGGTCCCGATTTCTTTCCTGAAATCCACTAGAAAGGTGGAATATTTCTGGTTTCAGGAAAGAAATATTTGTTCCTGAAATGCACCCGCCCTCGTCCCTTGTATTATTACAAGCGGTTTTCCTTGGTAGTAGCGTGATCTGCGCATGCAAATTAACATATATGTGGCTCCTCTGATCATGCTAATTAATTACCTGATGATAATTAGGGATGATTTTAGAATATTACCATAGACAAACCCTTTAACTGCGCCACTGTACTCCTATATATATCTCTTATTACACCGGTCAGAGTACTGATTATTTCATCATCTTCTTCGTGCATTCGATCGATCCATCGCCATTTCAATTCCCAGTACTTCAGCAATGGACAATCAATGGAATGCAGCGCCATCTTCAGGCACGAATTCAGAGTAAGTTGATTTACCATGGCTATATTAATTTGTTGTTCATTAATTCAAAATGCACCCTCTTTTTAGCCAAACAATCAAAATTAATTTTCTTTTGTCTATACTTTCTGATCGATCTAGCTCCATGCATGTTCATATGTTTTCAAAATTAATTTTCTGTTCTGTCGATCTTCACAGCCGCAACGTGCATGTGAATGGGGCAGATAAGAAGGCCCAGAGCCAAGAACAACAAGAGGTGAGAGAGCATATGTATTTTTAAATTCATCATTGCATACTGATGACTAGTTCACATAAGAAATTAGTACCCCTTTAAGTTCATTATTTGCTCCTCCCATTTATCTCAAAATAAATTAGTACCCCTTTAAGTTCATTATTTGCTCCTCCCATTTATAAAAGTAGCAGATATATGTATTAGGATCGGAGCATATAAAATGTAGTATAATTTTATTAGGATTTGATAAAAAAGAGGATATTTGCGGAAGGAATAGCATGTTGCTTCTGAACTTTACATGCATGAACGTTCCCCATTAAATTCTCACATGTTCTATCTGAAAATTAAATGATATGTCTCTTGCAAGAGGAACATTCTTGGGAAGTTTACCCTGCTAGTGCTAGCACAACTTTTTTTTCAATAATCTTTCAACTCATCATGAGTATTATATTTGGCATATGCATTTTCTTTGGACACCCAGAAAGTGAATATATTTCTTTGCATGCAGGCAGAAAAGCACCTCCAGATGAGGGTTGAGGCCCAGGAGAAATACATGCGGTCCATGATGGAGAAAGCACACCAAGCCCTCGCATCTGGTGCCACGTGGCCCGCCGCCAATGAGCAGGCGAAGATCTCACCTCCAGGAAGGAAGTGAGAGGATAAATCTGGATTTTTCACATTTTGGTTCTTGTGAAAAACTTATTTCGCAAATAGACCCCTAAAAAAACTTATCCCATAACCGCCGACGTGGCGGGGCGATGCTGAGGTGACTAGGGAGAGCGCGCCAGAATGGCTGGCGCCACCCCCCCCCCCCGAATTTTTTATTTTTCTTTTATGTTTTTGATATTTTTTTCACGCTTAGGGATACATAAGAACCAAACATAGAAAAAATAAACTCAAATGGACGTAATATGTAACCCGTAGAATTTTTTTCTCTCCTCTCCTCTCTCTCCGAACTAGTGCAGAGGAGAGAGATGTGCAACTTTTTTATTTTTATTTTTTTTTGATATTTTTTCACACTTAGGAACTTACAATAACCAACCATATAAAAAATAAACTCAAACGGACGAAATATGTGGCCTGTGGAATTTTTCAAAGCTCTACCGAAAAACTTCTCTCCTCAAAAACACAATCTTGCAAGTGGAATTTGGAGGTTTTAATATCGCCGAACCTGGCAAAGCAAGGGAGAATCGGGTGTAACTTTTTATGTAGATGTCCGTGGATATATTATTTGCCTGATTCCGAGTCCGTATGAGAAAGTTACGCCTATTTCAATAAATGACATATTTTGTCCGTTTCGGTGAGTTTTGGAAAATTCTACAAGTCACATTTTGTCCGTTTGAGTTTATTTTTTATATGGTTGGTTCCTATGTTCTCCTAAGTGTGAAAAAAATATCAAAAAATGAAATAAAAATAAAAAATTGCATCTCTATACTGTTTAACTTATGGCTATCATTTTATATGGTTATATTTTGAATTAGATTAAGTAAGTAATTTCATATAGTCTAATTTACTAAAGGATCTCTCCTATGTTTAACATGCTGATCAAAAGGTTTTACTAAAGAAGTTATGGTCTAATTTTAGTGAAGGTGCAAAGTAGACTAAGTGGTAGACTTAGCTAAGTGGTAGTTCGAGTTGAAATTTTTTTTGGTGGTTGGTTGTATCGTGATCCTAAGTGTGAAAAAACATCCGAAAAAATAAAACAAAAATAACATCGTTGCAACTCCATACAGAGAAACATGAATGGAGGTGAGGGGTGGGGGGGCGCCAGTCATGCTGGCGCCCTCATTCCTAGGGCGGCGCCAGCCACTTTGGCGTGCTCCCCCTAGCCACCTCAGCATCGCCCCGCCACGTCGGCAGGGGGACGGCGCGGCGCCAGCCACCCTGGCACCCCAAAAAGGACCATTTCTGGGATAAGTTTTTTCAGGGGTCTATTTACGAAATAAGTTTTTCAAAAGGACCAATATGTGAAAAATCCAGAGGATAATAGCCTTACCTCCGCTTCAAAATATAGCAACTATATTTTGGGAGGAAGGTAGGTATTACTTATTTAGAGGAACATCTTCTATGGCTATGGGGTATCATAATTTATGATTAAGAGGTGTAATAAACCTCTTGCATGATCACTCAATAAGCATATGTGTGTGTGTATATGTACACTGTCTTGTTTGATGGTGTTCCAAAATGGCATAATTAATAATATGATATCCGAATTTATTTGTAGAGGCATATGACTCAGCACCTGCTAACTGCTCCCAGAGTCCAAAAATGTAATAACCTATAACCAAACGATTTTGCTAAAAATTAGGCGCAACCGGAGTTTCTTTTGTTTTTCTTTCTCTGTTTTATTTTTATTTTTCATCCTAGAGTCTCCAATAGGCATTGTGCCATTATCAACTTATAATATCAATATTTATTCGAGATGGTGGTGAAACTCATCCTTTATAAACTGCAATCCCTCGTAAAAAATATATAAAAATTAGCTATAATACGAATCAGGCTGAAACGACGTATCCAGCCCATCAGGGCCCATACTAGAGCCCACTATCAGCCCAATACAGCGCGGCCTGCAGCCGGGGCCCACCAAAGACTTCCCAACGTCAACGCAATATTCTCCTACCTGATGGATGGCCGGAAAATGGCATTGGACGGACAGGATGCACAAGAGGGCAACTAATTAATCGCATTTTATTTTGTCTTCCAAGATGACATTGTTTGACCTTGACATTTGAATTTTCAAATTTCAACGAGACCCAAACCTAAACGGCGATGATAACGATGACTGTTAACTTGAAATTAAGTGTCAATGTTCTATAGGTCATGGTCATGTGAGATAACGTATACGATACATCATTTATGGTCGTTGATTTTTCTACCGTAAGTACGAAAATGAGTGACCAACATTGATTCCATATATAATGATAAATTATCAGCAAGAGAGTGATGAACAAGTCAAACTACAACTGTAGAAGATTAATTAATTAACGACTAACGGTGTTCATCTTCTAGAAAGGCTAGAGGGTAGAGGCGCAGCACAAAAGCACCAATATCTTATTGCCAGGTGTCACATGCATGACCAAAAATGTTCCGTATATTGAGTTCGTCATAAGGGCCAGATTAGTCTAAGGTGAACTTTGAGTACCTTTCATATTTTTGTTGTGCTGACTAAAATCACATGTGCAGATTTGTTTGAAATGATACTTCCGTATCACTATTTCTGCCATAGTTTGTAACACATAATCTTGCTTTGTCAGAGTACAGACTGTCCTTCTATCTCGTTTTCTCCATAATACAGGGACTATATGTGCTATTATGGTAGGTATAGTCTGTTCCAAAATATAACTATTTCTAGCACTTAAAATTTGTTTTAAAATACAATAACTTCTCCACCAACATTCTCTTCTCAACCAATAACAACTCTTCCACCATTCACTTTTTTCACCTAACTTAACTTCTTAATCAATCACAATATCTCTCTATTTAATTCTACCTAATTTCTTAACAATCGTGTCAAACTCTAAAACCTCTTTTATTCTAAGAGGAGGTATTAACATATTATCATAAAACTTTTTAGCAACTACGTAAATATGAGTATAGTAGCTACGAAAAATCTCAAAGATTTTTTTTAAAAAAAACCCATTAGTACTAAACATGGGAAGAAAAGTGCTTGAAAAGGAACAAAATAGATCTAACTGATAGCTGTGAAAAAATCTCTAAAAAAAAGAAAAACAAACTATATATTAGTATTAGGCCTTTTATTTTCTGATTAAGTTGCTCTACAATATCAAATCAACTCATCTTCTAAATTTATAATAATCAAAACTCAATAATCATATGTTATTATTTTTTTTCGTTTTTGCGTATACTTTCTTAATCCTCATATTTATCAGTTGCAAACAGGGCCTAAACCTTTATAAGAAAAGTCCTTAAAAAAGAAAAGAAAAAAATATTCTAGAACAAAGACAGTGAAAATAAAACCTGTTTTGACCATATGAAAAAAAAATTAATCCCAACTCCCAATTCCCAAGCCAACCACCACAGCAAAGCCTCCCTTCCTTTCCTCTCTTCGTCTTCCTCCTCCCTCCCCTCTCTCCACAGGTCAAATCCTCCCCTTCCTTGCTTGCAATCCTAGCAAGCTCCAAGATCGCGGCAAGCTAGCCTCGAGGGAGGCCCGCCTGCCCGGGCCTCGGGCTCCGGGGGCCCGGTTCTTGAGGTTTCTTGGTCGTGGGGTCGAGGAGGTGGTGGGTGGTGGTGGCTGCGGCTTGGCGCGATGAACAACCACGCGGCGGGCGGGAGCACGAGCAACGGCGGATCCGGGGTCGACGGGGATGGCGGCGGCGGTGGCGGCGCGGCCAGGAGGAACACCAAGATGCCCAAGTGTGAGCGCGCGAGATCTCTCTCTCTCTTTGCTCTTCTTTGCTTGCTTCTTGTCTCGTCTAGCCTTAGTGCAAGATCAGGATGCGATGAGCAGAGCTGTTGCTGAGAGCGAAGTCCATGTAGTAGTTAGTAGCTTGGGTTCTTTTCGCAATTTCACCCCGCAAAGGTGGTGGTAATCTGGCTAGCTTAGGGGGGGTCTCAGCTCTCGAGATGGATGCTAGCTCATGCATGTTTTCTTTTTGGATTAGTATGGTAGGTAATGATTTATGTTGGGTGTACTTACCTCTAGTGATTATATAGCTAGTTTCAATAGTCCAGGAGAAACCTTGATTAAATTGAGCTGTGCGCAATTCTAATATTGTTTGGTTTGTTCTTTGCATAGACGAACATTTTAGGTCGAAAACGCCGATCAAGTGTTAGGGGAAGCGAATCTGACTAGCGTTTCCAGGTTGTGAGCTGATTCTTACTCCGTAAATTTTTCATGCGCAGATTCCAAGTTCACGCAGCAGGAGCTGCCGGCTTGTAAACCAATTCTAACTCCAAAATGGGTAAGTTTAATTACTTGTTGCATACTTCCAAGGATTAATAGATTTAGGGTGTTACTAGTTTTAGGGGATAAAAGATGAATATATGTGCGGAGCCGTTCACTGATGTTTTGGCTTTGTGCTACTTAGGTTGTATCGGTGTTTTTCCTTGTCGGCGTCATCTTCGTACCAGTTGGTGTTGTTTCGCTGCTAGCTGCACAAAATGTATGCTCTGTATCTTTTACACAATAGGACATGTTCTGGAAGTTTCTGTATTTATCTGTTTGAAACTGTTGCAGGTTGTTGAGATAGTTGATCGGTATGATGATGCATGCGTGCCAGCCAACATGACTGATAACAAGCTTGCTTACATCCAAAACCCAAACATATCCAAAGAGTGCACAAGGACTCTGACAGTAATGAGCTTAATTTTCTGGCAGTTACCTCATATTGAATGATTAGGGTATATAGTTGGAGCAACACTGCAGCTAAATATATCTGGGACATTTTTTTAAAACTTTAATTAGCATGTGGTTGTAAGTGGACATTGTATCAAAATTTGTTGGCTAAATGGGAACTGTTTTGTTTTTATCTCCAGATTACAGAGGATATGAATCAGCCAATTTTTGTATACTATCAACTTGATAATTTCTACCAGAATCATAGGAGGTATGACATGATTCTATTCAAGGTTTTCAATCAAGAATTTGATTACTTAGCCTTCCTAACCAATCTGGCAACAATGAAACCTATGACTTTTTTGCCTTATGATAACAATAACATGCATTTGATACCTAGTATGTATAACTCTTTCCAAATTCAGATATGTGAAGAGCCGAAATGATGGACAGCTAAGGGACGCTGCGAAGGCAAACCAGACATCTGCCTGTGAACCTGAGAAAACCACGGCAGATGGAAAACCGATTGTTCCTTGTGGGCTGATTGCTTGGAGTTTGTTCAATGATACATATAGCTTCACTCGTGGCAATGAGAACTTGACAGTAGACAAGAAGGACATCTCTTGGAAAAGTGATAGGGAGCACAAATTTGGCAAAAATGTCTATCCAAGCAACTTTCAGAATGGTTTGCTCAAAGGTGGAGGAACACTTGATCCGGCAATCCCAGTATGTGAACTCTTGATCTTTGCTATCACGCTGTTGCACATGCATGTAGTTGGAGGCAAACTGTTACGCATTTTATTACATATGCTTAACATCTTGATTTTCTGCTAATATCAACTATAGTTCATTTGAGTTCTTATTCACGTAGATATATAAAAAAGTTGCCTAGCCTTGGAATTTCTATGAGTAACTCATATCAGTTCGCATTCTATGTGACAGTTGAGTGAGCAAGAGGACCTTATCGTTTGGATGCGGACTGCGGCACTTCCTACATTCAGAAAGTTGTATGGGAGAATATATGTTGACCTCAAGAAGAATGATACCATAACTGTGAAGCTGAGTAACAACTACAATACATATAACTTTGGTGGCAAGAAAAAGCTGGTCCTTTCTACTGCAACCTGGCTTGGTGGGAAGAATGATTTTCTAGGATTTGCGTATGTTATAGTCGGAGGGGTCTGCTTTTTCTTGGCATTTGCTTTCACCTTGCTATACCTCATAAAACCAAGGTTGGTAACATATGTTCCCTGCAATTAAATGGAAATGCATGTGCTATATACTTGATATGCTTGTAGGCCATGCAGTTAACCTTCTCATTATAGTTCACTATGTAGATGCATATGCTGTGGAATGCTACATTCATGACATGGGTGTTATGCAAAAAGCTCATTTCCTGGATTATTATGTTTTCTGAGAACATGTCTACTGTCGATCATTTTTTGGTGCATATCATTCTTACGACTATTAGTGCCATTAAGAGTGATGTGGCATTGCTGTACTGGGTTGTATCATTGTATCAAAATAAAGAAACAAAGCTAAAATGTTCATATTGAACATGCATACTTTCGTTCCTTTGCTGACTGAGATTTTATAGAAGAATCTCTTTAGTTGCAAATTTTGTTAGGGTAAAATACTAAGGCAGCACAGGGCACAGCTAGTTAGTATCATACTCATGTTGCATTGATATGCACCTGTATTTACACACAACCACATGCTGTATTTGGTATATGAAAGTCGTTCTACTATATTTATCTGCGGTATTTTTGCAGGAAATTGGGTGATCACAACTACTTGTCCTGGAACAGACATCCTGGAGGCCGTTAAGACGTCCAAAACACTTGTCGCATAAAAATGGCTCATCCGGTGACATGTATCATGTACTTAATGATGATATACTGAAAATTGTCAGGGAGTGTAATCAGGTCTTTGGTTTGACCTAGACCTTCATGTACATCTTAGCATAAGAACCACGCTGTTTTGTTTCATTGTTTCTTTTGTTATTTCGGAACTGCATATAGCAGTGATGAATAGAATCGGTACTGATTGTTTTGTGATGAATAGAATCCTATCATTCTGAATGCCTAAACCGTTCTGTTATTGGCTTAAGTGGTTCATTCATCATGCTGATATGCATGCTTCAGTAATAAAACAAACAAACTGTCTTCTGATAATGGGAATATGGGATTGAATAATTTTTAACAGATTTGCTTGTCTACCATGATCAAATGCTGCAAACCTCTCACATTATCTCAAACACGAGCGGCAGAATCAAATGCCTTTGCTTTTTTTTTTGTTCTTTTTTTTCAGACAGGTGTGGAATAGAATGACAAACAGAACTGAAATTGCCCTGCTTTTATTGCTTCAGACAGGCGAAGATGCCAAACAAAACTAGTTTTCTTCGCTGAAACACAGTTCATGGGAGACTACAACAATGCTCTGCCACACTGATTTGCTTGACATATTCAGCAATCAGCATCAACAGTTCAACACCAAACAGCTTACATAATCCAGCAGCCAAGAACCATCACATAACCTATTCCATCAGTACAATACAAATACATCAATGGCACATTTCTTTTGCCTCCCTCGTTTCATAACTAGGAAACAAGAGGGAATTCAGCTCAGTGACAGGGGAACTGAATTTTCTAAGGTCAGACATTTTGTTCAGCTGCTACTGGCTCATCCTTGAGATTCTTGCTGAGCCACTCCTGAGCAGCTACCAGGTCAGGGAGCACAGTTGCTCCAGACTTCCTCCAGCTCTCAGCATCGGCGGTCTTGAATCGGTCCAGAAGCAGCGCGTGCATTCCGATGCTCCGTGCAGGGGTGTAGTCCTTGCGCATGCTGTCGCCTATGTGAAGCGCCTCTTCTGGCGCGACCTTGCCCGCCATTTCCAGTGCAATCCTGTAGATACTTGGATCTGGCTTCTCCACACCAACTATTCCAGAGAACACCCCAAAGTCCCACTCGGAGCCCTGGTTAAAAAAAAATCAAGAGAAGTCATGAACCACAACATTTACTTGTGAAGATGATAACATTAGAGGAGCATGAGGTGTAATTTGTTATGCGGAGAATATCGAACCTGGTTCAGTCCTAGAGCAGGCAAGATGACGTCTTTGTAACGGTATTCTGCGTTGCTGACAATTCCAACCGTGAGCCCCTTCCCGCGAAGCCACCTCATGAAGGGCTGCGCATCAGGGAATACCGAGTACGGAGCAGACGAGCCAAAAGAAGAGTAAATCCGTTTGAAAATCTTCTCAAATGTCTCCTCGTCATACTCATAACCAGCCTACAAGACAGCACATATCAAGCAACCGAAGCACTTAGCCTCTGAACACAAAGACATCACTAGTTCCTGAAAAGCTTCAGACCTACAAAACAGTGGCATCACCTTAACAAAAGAATCCTTGACGCACATCCTCCACCAGTCGATATTCGGCATCTTCGCTGCAAATCCAAAGCATGGGTATTGCCTTGCCATCTCGGTGTATGCAAGCTTGAAGCCCTCATGCATTCGCTGGTAGTCAGGACATGGCTTCCCAGCAGCCTTAGCTGCCATACAGTAGTAATCACCAAGCTGCCCTTTGTAGGCAAGCAGAGTACCGGTGACATCCACAGTGATCAACCGCAGCTTCGAAATGAGCGACATGTTTTGACGATGATCTTCTTCTGAGCAGCAAAAAAATAAAACGATGAAAATTCTACAGTGGCGGATCTAACATGGGGAACCATCAAACTGTTACTACTACTAGTATTAAGGTTGAGGGCAGATCTCTAGAACAGAAGCTAGAGGCTAACGCAAATTTGGAGAAGAAAGACAGAAAGTGCGTGGGTAGAGAGGTGTGCCGTGTGCGTAACGGATGCGGGCAGAAGGAGCAGAACGAGCGACGGATGGGGATCGGCGCAGGCGGGCTGCGGTGGCGGGAGGATGTGCTCACTCACCAGGATGGATGCGGTGGGAGGATGCCGACGAAGCGGCGGTCGCGTGATGGATGGGGGTCGCCGGAGGCGGAGGCGGCGCCTCGCGTGATGGATGGGGATCGCCGGAGGCGGAGGCGGAGGCGGAGTCGGCGGCGGCGCCTCGCGGGATGGATGGAGACGGCAGCGGTGGCCGGTGGGCGAGATAGAAGCGTCAAAATGGCGAGGGCAGTTTAGTAATTTCGCCTAGCGCATCCCATTCCTTGCAAATTGCACATCCCATCCCCACCGTACCCGAAATATGAAAAATAGAAACAATGTATATATCACTTCCAATCCCATTTTTCAAATTAAGCCCTTGGGATTAACCTTTAACACGGCGGGTTTTTATTTTAATTTTTTATATGGTTGAGATGGTGGATAAAAAATAGCTACCTTTGGGGCACTGTCCGATTAGGCACGGCTGACCGAACAGCCATGCTGTGTCGGCCCTATGTGCTGGGTCTAGAGCCCAGGTACGGTCCAGTGAGATGAGATGTCGGGTCATGTTGAGTTGGCATGGCACGATTAGTTTACGTGGACTGTGTTGAGGCCGGTTAGCCCAAATTTAACATATACTAAGAAAAAAAAATATGAATAGAGTCTGTTCTATCATGTTGCACAAACTTCGGCACATGTTGCACAAATGAGATCCCCCGCTCATTAATAGCACATTCCTCATCCTCATCGTCAAGCAATGCCATGGCCCTTCACTTCCTACTTTCTTCGCCCCGAGCTGGTGAGTCCATAGTGATCGCTATGCTTAGTAGTTGTGCTCACGAATTGGGTTGGCCATACCACGATGCTACCGTGCAGATCTATGTCGACAAGCATCCTCCGTCGCTTCCTCTTCCCTGAACCCTTGGCTTCTTCAATTTTTCCGTTTTCCTTTACTCCGTCGGTCCCATCGTGTCGCACGGGCCAAGCTATGCGCTATTCCTGGGTCATGTCGTGCTGGCTCACACATGCACTTGTTGTGTTGGCATGACAACCCGGGTAGCAACTGAAGCACAGCCTGGCTAGACAGGTCGTGCCAGCACGACCCTCCGCTAAACGGATCGACCATGTTGTTCTTGAGCTGTGAGCTGCACATGTGTGCTCGGACGGACACAGAAGTAATAATATAGTACTTTCTTTATTAAAAGTAGGAATTTCTTCTATTTTTATGATTAATGATGCTTCCGAATTTTACCGTTTGCTTAGAATTTTTTAAGCCCCTGTCTTTTTAATAAATTCAGTTACTTTCTTTCCGTGGAAGATTTGCAATTTTTTAAGCCCATAAGTTTCTTATGATATAACACACTGTTTTTTAATACGCTGTTTTTTTGTACTACTGCAACCGGATCAATGGTGACACAGTTAATAATAGTCTAGCACATCTATTTGTACATTTTTAATAGAACAACTAGCCTGTGAATGTGGACGTCAGAGAATACACCATACAAAGTGGTATGCTTTTGACTCTGATACTGTGGACTGTCCGACCATTCAAAAATGAGATATTTACTTCGGTAAATATACTTGTGCAGGAGACCCATGGATTCGATTGCCCAAAAGCCTTGCAAAACATCTTCATTTCCCGAAGAGATCCGTACCACATCACATGTACACATACCGGCACCCATCATAACCTACACAAATTAATGAAACAAAACAATGTGACAATAATCAAAACCCATTAAAATTCATCAATAAAATTCATGCAGAAAAGGAGAAAATTTTCAGAACTACCATTCCTTCCTTTTCATATTTGAATTTTTTTTATCAACTTTTTTTTTAAAAATTTGACCAACTTTATAGAAAAATATAGCGGCATTTCCAACCCCAAACAAATTTATTATCAAAATATATTCAATATTATATTTATGAAATTATTTGTTGTTATAAACATGGTCGAACCTAAATATGTTTGAATAGGAAAAATGTTTTATAACATGAAATGGAGGGGGAAGTAAATAAACAAGTAAAATGGGAATGGGCCGTCCTTGGGCCTAATGAGCAGAAGAAGGCCTTGGCCCAATAATGCAAACGATCGACATGGCTGCGTACTTACTGGGATCCTTGGTGATGAGCATGGCGGCGCCGGCGAAGTCGCACGTGCCGCCGGCGACCTTGGTGCGCTGCCAGTAGCTGTTGAAGGCGTAGGAGGCGTGCGCCATGAGCGTGTCCGGCAGGAAGCACGGCGCCCCAGGCGCCGCCACCATGTCGCAGTCCGCGCCCGACGCGCACGCGTAGTCCATCGCCGTCTGCGCCACCGCGCTCGCCACCGTCGGGTTCGCCACGCACCACACCCCCGCCTCCCTCGCCCCCGGCGCCGGCGGCGTCGTCGTTGCTGGCGGCGGGCTTCCCGTTCCCGGCGCGATCGATGGCGGCGGCGCACCGGCCTGCGCCGGCGTCGGTGGGTTTCCAGCTGGCGCGATCGATGGCGGCGAGTCGCCGGGGCTCGCCGGCGTCGGCGGCAGCGGGGCCGGAAGAGCCGGCTTGGTAGGAGGAGGAGGGTACACGCAGTACGGCGGCGGCGGAACGTCGTCGGCGGCGACCGGAGTTGATGGGCCCACCACGTCTTTGAACGGTGGCAACGGTGAGTACTCTCTTGAGGTGCCATTTGCTCCACCTACAATGCACACAAAAGATAATTAAACAAGGTAATTAACTAGATTAATTGGACCAAATTAGACGAAATCATACATATATATGAGCAAGTACAAAATCAAATCATACATGTATATATTAGTATGCATTTTGTAGCTAGATTGAATTCTTGATGCATAATTACCACATTGAATGGAGAGGATGAGAGCTAGGAGGATGTAGCGCTTGATGATGATCACCATTAGCGGCACAATGAATTTCATCTAGTCAGATGATCCTATATATGTATATTAAATTTACTACGGCCGCGAGGCTACCAAACTGATGCTTGTAAGACATTGGAGTACGGGGAGAGTGAGACATTGATATAGTGTTGCAAAGGAATATAAGGAGAAGGATTCTAATCCTTCTATGGACTACACCCTCTGTCCCAAAAAAGACAAATCTTAGCATCCCAATGCAAAATTAAAGGAGAGGATAAATGACCAAATAACCCTTATTATTAGTAAATTAGTATTGGTGGGTAGATAGATAAGGGGTATTGAAGGAATAAAATTTTTTGATTTGCGAACCGAGAGTAGATAAGAAGGTAGATGTTGATTTATTTTGGGACAAAAATTTGAATTTCAGAAGTTGATTTATTTTGGAACGGAGAGAGTCCTCTATTCTAAAATAAACGAATTTATGTTATGGTATGACATTACCATACCTTACATTATCTTGCACCTATCCAGATTCGTTGTACTAGCAATAAATTGAATTACACATTTGCGCGCACTAACTAATTATTTGAAGCCTTATTATTTAAGGCTGGTTACACCTTATGTCAATGAACAAAGGAAAAAAATATTTATAGGTAAAAATTTTGTATCTGTACTAGTCAAGGCTAGGGAAAAAACTATGTGTGAATGGAAAAGAAAGCGCCAAATTCAGCCACTAGCATTAAGTTTCAAAATTTAAATTTTGGTTGCACCCAACAAACAGATGATGAAAGACACAATATTATCATATTGTTTGAATATATTTTTTAAAAAAATATAACGAATTTTTCCTATGTAACTATATGGGATCAATCACTAATATTTTAGATGTTAGGACAGAGGTAATATGTATAATATTTGAGTAAAAAGATACAAGTTTAAAAGAGCTTGCAACAAATGGTTAACAAGTCTCAGGTGAGCAGGCAAAGGGGAAGCAGGAAGAATTTTCCAGCTGCATGCTAGATGCTAGCCAGATTTCGCTATGCAGGCTAAGGTGCATAAGAATATTGGTTACTTGGTTCTTCAGAAAATTGGTTATGCTGCAAATGTTTATTTCTTTTCACTGTTGTTTTCGGCGCATTTTGTTCGGATTCTTGATCTTTTCTCCAGGTGCAGTTTTGGCACATGTGCTTGCTTGGTCAATGAGAAATTCAAAAAAGAAGAAGAAGAAGAAGAAGAAATAAATAAATAAAAAGAAAAGAGGAAATTTGATTAAAGTTGCACGTATGGGATGGGTCCTTTTTCGTTGCTTTGGTTCCACTCAAGCAGAGACAACTGGCTGATACATCATTGCAAACTTGTTTGCACATAAATATGGAATACTTCATATTTTCACATGGCCATTTCATCGTTTAATTTGTTAGAGAAATTAAGAAAATACCGGTGTGAAGATTTTACAATGTACTCATCGCAAAAGGTAGTTAATGCATGAATGGTCTGCTAAATGTCAATGACACATAAAAACAATAATTTTTCAACTCCCTGATTTATACTATTTGTATAGGTATGTGTTTTCATCTTACCAAGCTATACCAAGTACTCCCTCCGTTTCACAATATAAGTTATTCTAGCATTTTCCACATTCATATTGATGTTAATAAATCTAAATAGATATGTAAGTCATTCTAGCATTTCCCACATTCATATTGATGTTAATTAATCTATTAGATTAATTAACATCAATATGAATGTGGGAAATGCTAGAATGACTTACATTGTGAAACGTATGAATGACTTAGAAATTAACATGAAGCTAGAGACACCGGACATTGTTTATTTGTTTCTCTTATGAAAAAGTGTAGTCAAACATCCAATAATTATCTTCTTGTTGAAAACAACACAAAAACGTCAGTAAACGAGGGGTGGTGGTTGTGCCAGGTTGCCAACGTCCACGAGAGATCGAGGAGACTGGAGTACAATAATCCGCAATTAATTATATCATTTTCTTTGAAATTCATATATGAAATGGACTATCCCTATAGATATTTTAGAGAAAAAAAGATCATAAGGCTATACCTTGTACGATTTCAATATTTTCTCTTACAATCATAGTACTATACGTTTTTGAGATGCACCTGATAGTTTAGTAGAAGGGGGTGTGTGATCTCAACCCTAAGATACTCATGTTTAATTTCCAACACGCTCATAATTTCTTATTAAAAATATTATATGTTTTCTCCAAGTCACATAATTCACCATATGTAGTATAAATGGCATGCTAACTGCTACTTGGCGACCAGAGGTGATTTAATTTGGAGATCTCTGATAGGCTGTTTGGTCAAGTTTTAATAACTTTGTTCTACAGTTAAAGTGCAAAGTAAAATTTAGAATTGTAATAGTAGGATATAAGCAGCATTGGACATTTTTTCTAGACAAACATTATAACTACATGTTACTAATAGTAATATTGGTGTGAGTACGACAAGTCGAGGTCTAGTTTGTTGAGGATCGTGCATACCTAGAACATATAAATACTGGATGTTGGATGGGAAAGGAGTGCCCATAATTAATATCCTGGTGATGTAGAATTCAATATAACGTAGTTAACAAATAGTATAATGTCTTCATGCCATCATAAAGGCCTGGTTTAGTTCCCAACCTTTTCTTCAAACTTTTAACTTTTTCATCACATCAAAATTTTTCTACACACACAAACTTCTAACTTTTTCATCACATCGTTCCAATTTCAATCAAATTTTTAATTTTGACGTGAACTAAACACACCCTTATATCCAAACTATTGACGTGTATATCGATGCTTTACAACAACATTGGTTCTAGATCTTAAGAGAATTCCCAAAATGTGTGTAGTCAAATCTTAAAATCTTAAATCACTAGTAGATAAAAATATTATGATTTAAAATGTGTAAATGATATTAATTAGTAGATTTTCTGTGCAAAACTATTCCTAGAGTTATATTTTTAATATGTTTTATAAATACTTTAAGAAAGTAATTATAAAGCATATGCATTATATTGAAGCTTACGTGGATGTCCAAATCACCGTCCTTTTGAGAATTGAGGTAGTCAGAGTTTAAGCACTGTACTGTATATGCAAATTAAGGTTTAATTTGGAATCAAGGAATTTTACATGAAACGAACTATTTCTTATAAAAATCTTGTAAACTTTCTACGTCATTTCAAAAGAGTCATGAAAGTTTATAAACTTAACTGACAAGATTAAGGATCAATTGTGGAGTATTTTACATCTTAGTCTGCGTTTGTTTGGGATGGTTAGAAATATGGATAAGTGGCTAACTGGCCACTTATGGATATGTTTGTTTGCAAAACGGAGTGACCGGTTGGAATGGTTAGAAATCCTTTTCTCCCAACATGTAAAATGAAGTAGTAACAGATTAATTAAGTATAGTCCGTATCAGCAAATTAAAATCCAATCTCTAATTAAAGTATAATTAAAGTACTACTAATACAGTACCCATGTTAATTAATATTCGAGGTCTACTATATAGGGCCCGGGGTCTAAGGTTGTGTAGCCTGCTGGTGAGGCTGTACTACTGCTCCATTGATTTCTTGGCCAAAGCCAAAGAAATGATAGGATTCCAGCTGCGATTGTTGCAGCCAGCCCAGCATGCAGATGAGCAGAGCTTCCTGTGGCCATGGCAGAGGCCCTCCGACCGGCCGGCCGGCCGGCCGATCCGGTCAAGATCAGTAGCAGCAGCAGCAGTACTACCTGCATTGCATATAGGAGTATACTCATACCCCTGCCCTAGCTTGCTGTTCATCCTACAGTACTTAACTCATGTGCATTCCCCATAAGAGATTCCTCCATTCCACTGTACATTACCAAACATAGTTCTACTGTGCAAGCAACAACAACATCAGATATATCCATCTTCTCTTTGATCACATTTTATAATTAACATTTGTTAGTTAACATAATTTCCTCGGTATGATTCTATATATATATACTAGTACTTCCTACCTACTAGAATATGAAAATGATTGGAAAAATGTTGTGATTAATTAGAGAAAAAAATAGTTAAAAAATAAATGAAGAACGGTTATGATTAGTTGAAAAGATGAAGTAAGTGAAGAAATAGCTTTATTTTAGTATAAGTGAATATTATAAATAGCTACATTTTAAAACGGAAGTAGTAGCGAACAAAATCTATCAAACCTAGCTGATTCAGGATGCATGTTAGATAAGCTACTCCCTCCGTCCCAGAATAGAGCAACGTAGGACCAGATGGTACGTATGTTAGATATATTCTCCGAAAATTTATTCACTAGTGCGTCCAGTATCTGAAGATATATAGTACAGAAGATATTTGCTACTGGATGGTTATATGTCAAAATGCAATTTGATAGTTAGTGCGATGGAGTATACTCTACAAGCTAGTGAAGTCATACTTTGCAACAGAAAAACAGAAGACGTACAATTTCATGGTTCTGAAACACATATGCTCTTTTATTCAGAGTCTGCTGAAATATACACAAGTTACTTTCATCAGTTTCATGCATGCATGCATGATCACTTCGTAGTGTGTTCCAAATGACTGTAATAATCAGTGCGTAGCATGTTTTGCAGTTTAGTTCCTTTGGGATTTCTACAATCCTATTGAGATCTTTAGAACATACTATATATACTAGCAGTATATTACTTACACATGATTTTTAAAATTAAATGGATGTGATTAGAACCTGGTTGGGGGTGGCTAAAGATCTGAACCACCATATCTCTGGTGCTTGTTACTGCTTCCCCAGAGATGCATGATATACTGAATCAACAACTCGATCGATCGGGAAAACTATGTTTACATATATACAATGTCTATGTTAGGAGTACAATTCTAGCTAGAGTAAGCTTGCAAAAGAAAAAAAAAAGATTGGCCATAAAATTTGATCGACCAAGGGCGCTACATAAACTAAGTTTGGGCATCTTACTTTTTCAGAGTATCTAGCTTTATTTAATAGAGGTCGTACTAATTTCACTCACAAGAAAGATGCAACTACACACATAAGTATGTGTGAATATTAAGCAAATATATGGAAGAAATGCATATCCAAACTGAGAAACTATATACCGATCTGAGGTGGATTCAACAGACAAAGTCATGCTGGCCAGAAGATCATACTCAAATGATCACATACTGTTGTAGGCTTCATGTGATCATGATAAACCATCTAAATCAACACTCTTCAGAAAATCACATGCATGAATATTCTTCAACAGATCTCATGGCAAGATCAAAGTAGTAGTAGTTGTTGAGTAGAAACCCTTCAGTAGGTTTTCTGAATTATTAGTGTTTTCTGAATTAACAGAGATGAAACCACTTCAGAGTTCAGACCACTGTCAATCTAGCACACTACCAACTCAGATGACAAATACAACCTAATTAATTAATTAAGCTACCTAGTACATACTACTAACTTGCACATACTACTAGCTAGAATCATGCTAATTCTCATACCTAACCTATCATATAACACACTTAATTGCTCATAAGAAATTAACATATGATCCCCATTGCTGAAACAACTTTAATACACCACAAACCTAGCTTGCTCATGAACATGTGTATGCATGCCCTAGGCCATAACAAATTGATTAGTTGATGCAGGCAGCATGCACAAAAAAGCACATAGTATGCTCCTAACCATCATGCATGCCATGCAAGGCGACGGGCGCCGTGGCGTCGAGGAGGCCAATGGCCGGCGTCGCCAGCCGGGGCTCGTACGCGAACACCCGGAAACCCGCCGCGCCGGCGCCGCCGTGGTGCGCGACGACGACGTACGGGCACGGCGGCGCCCACCGCCACTCGTCGCGGCGGGAGTCGAACACGAGCGCGCTCGTGGGCGCCTGCGCCACGGGCCCGCGCGGCGCGAGCACGACGTAGTCGCCGTGCGCCGCGCACTCGAACCCGCGCCCGCCCTCCGCCGCGGCGAACTGCGCGTGCACCTCCGGCGGCATCCGCGCCACCTCCGTCCACGCGCCACCGCCGCCGCCGCCGCCGCCGCCGCGCAGCGTCCACAGGCGCACGCTGCGGGGCACGCTGAGACGGCTCTTCTCGACGGCCGACACCAGCGCCACCCTCGCCGCTCCCTCCCTCCCGCCGCCGAGCTCCACCAGCGCCGGCGACCTCAGGAACCGCCTCATCGGCGGCTGCACCTTGCTCCATACGTTCTCCGCCACGTCGAACACCAGAACCGCAAACGGCGACGAGCTCATGCAGTAGAACCTAAGAACAACAACCAAGGCAAGATCAGCAAATCTGTGCAAGAGTATTTACCCATGCGTCATCAATGGCGCGGCGCGCTTACCTGCCGGAGGCGAAGGCCATGCCGGCGCGGGGATCGAGGGAGGAGAGGCGAGGGAGCAGGGAGCTGGGAGCCCAGAAGCCGGAGGGCGGGACGGAGGCGGCGTCGGCGACGAACGTGTCGGCGGAGATGTTCTTGACGGCGAAGGGGGACACGAGGTCGTCCCCGGCCACGACGGCGATGATGGAGGTCGGGCCGGCGGCGAGGCCGACGGTGGGGGAGAGGCGCGGGGTCGGGGAGATGGGGAGCGCGGCGAGGAGGCGGGTGATCGGGTTGGCGAGCAGCAGCGTCTTGTGCCCCGACGCGTCGGACAGGAACGCGAGCAGGCCGGCGGACGCGGCCGCGGGCGAGAACGCGGCGGGGCCGCCGGCGACGGGCGGGAGCGGGAGCGGGAGGCGGGACCAGGAGGCGGTGGCGGTGGGGTCGAGGAGGAGGAGGTGGCCGGCGGCGGGGACGACGAAGGCGAAGAAGGGGAGGTGAGGGGAGAGGAGGAGGTGGGAGTGGAGGAACGGGGAGGAGAAGAGGAGGTGGTAGAAGCGGCGGCAGGCGGCGCGGAGGCGGAGGAACGACGGCGTCGGGAGGCACGCCAGGATGCGGTCCACCAGCGGCTGCGGCAGCCGGCGCCACACGCGCGGGTCCATGTCGTCCGCTGCCGAGGCGGACGACGTCGACGACGGCAGAGGCGGCAGCCGGCGAGGGTTCATCATGGTCGTCGTCGTCGGCGCGCGGCGTCGTCAGCTGCAGCTGCGTGAGCTGAAAATTTTCAAGGGTGAAGTGGAGTGGAGTGAGGCAGCTGTGAAGCGGCAGCTGCGATCAAATGATAGTGAAACTGTGGTACTAGCTTGTACTCGAGATGCCAAGGGATTAATTCATGTGAGGCTAGCCATGCCAAAGCTAAAGGTATGCATATATGAGAATTCATGATTAAATTTGAGAATCGCAATCTAAGCAAAGCAACAGTTATATAAATGGATGATGGATATCGATGGACTGTGTGTTCTTGCGTAATTAAATTTGAGAGGGGAAAGGATTGGATATGGAGTAGAGTAGCAGTTGTTGACATGTTGTTGTTGTTGTCTGGGTAGCGCAACGCCGGTTTTGGTTTGTCTCAGCTCTGATCTGTTATTCTATGCATTTTTATTTTTATTTTTTGCACACGGCAGTGGTTGATTTTAAACAATTTGTTGGACAGTGTTCATCATTTCCTCAAAAAATATCTTCGGATTTTTCTTTAAAATTCCTTTGAAAGTGTTGGACATTGTTCCAAAGGAGCCCACAAAGGAATTTTGAAGGATTTTTTCCTATATATATCTAGTGTGTTTTGGAACAAAGGATATGAACATGACAATTTTCTATGGACTGTTATCATATGCATCACTTCCATTGGAAATTTTTTTTACTATATATGAGCTCAAATCTTATTTTAGTGCTCCTTTGGGACAGGTTTGTAAGAAATTTGAAGGAACTCAATCCTAAGGAAAATTTTTATACATGGTCCTATGAATCAAAGGAAATTTCCATCCGAAAATCCTACCAAATTCCTTGGATTGGTTCAAAGTATAGGAATTTTGACATGAGGTACAACCTATTGGAAAAATATCATTTGTGTCTTTCACTCTTATGAACTGATTCCTGTGTGTTTCCTGCGCTCCATCTAAACGGATTCATGCAGTTTTCCTGCATAGGATTTGAAGTGGTAGGGGTACTCCAAACCTGTATTTTTTTTTCTATTTCTGTGTTTTTATGATCATTCATGCGTTTTTATGATCCTGTGTTTGGTGAGGCCAACGCATCTTCTCTCTGCCCCCCCCCCTCCCCTCCATTAAAGGCTCTTTTGAAACAAAGGGTTTTTAAAGGAAAGTTGTAGGATTGAAATACTATTGAAAATTTTCCTAGCTAGGGAGACATATGGTTTGAATGATTTGGTTAGAAAATTTTCATAGGATTCCTTTCAAGAAAATTTTCATAGGAATCCTTTCTTTCCTCCACTTTTTGAAGGATTTCAAACATAAGCTCAAACCTCATGGTTTTGATTTCCTTTCAGAAGCTCAATGCATATCCCTAAGTTTTTTCAACATTTGTGTTTCAAAAGAACACTAAATCCCTAGTATATCCAGTACAACTTCATGTATTTTGAAATTCTGCGTGATTTGTCCATACATAAAAGGCCCCTTTGAATCGCAGGGTTAAGAAAAACGGAGGAATAGGAAAAACACATGATTCTAACAGGAATGCAAATGTAAAATAGTGGATTGCAAAACACAAGAAAAACATAAAAATAATTGTTTGATTAGACCACAAGAAAAATCAGGAATTATATTAGATGAGAGAGATAAACTCAAAGGAAATTTTTCAAGAAGTTGAAGCTCTTGCTATGTTTTCTCCTAAATCTACATGCAATGAGCCATTCCATAGGAATTTCATAGGATCTGAAAAGCTTTAATTCTTTGTATCAAAGGGCCAAATAGAAAAAAATCATATAGGATTTAAATCCTATGAAATTTCTATATAAATCAAATAAGAAGCCTAAATGCTCTATTTTTTTTCTATTCTTAATTACGTTCTTCGAATGATGCGTTCCAACATGAATTTTTTTATTTTTTAGACCTTTTATTTTTAAATTTTATTAATATATATTTCCAAAAAAATATTTTCAAAAACTGAACCTTTTGGCCATGCCAGCGTTGTTTGGCCAGGCTAGCCATAGTGGCGTAGCAAGGGGCTAGCGTGGCAAGCCAGCACTGCAAGGCGTGGACAAAAGATTTAGATTTGAAAAATATTTTTTTGAGAGGTTTATTAATAAAATTTAAAAGTAAAAAATTCTAAAAAAATATAAAAAAATTCTTCCAACGGAGCCCTTACCTGTAGTCGGCTGTAGCGTTATCTCACAACTACTAATATACGCGAGTACGTCTGCAATGGATATTGCTATAGTTTTCTCACTGTATAAATTCGTGGCTGGATTTGTTTTACACTGTGTGATGTGTTGCTTGAGACTCCGGCTAGTAGTGCATCGCGAGTAGTAGAGATAAATTAATACTCTGCAGTAATATCTTCTGTGGCGTTGTCTCTTTGATGCGAAAATTTTTGTTTGCGTACATGGAGGACAACCACAGTAGTACTCCTACTCCAGTGCAGTACTAGGGCTAAGCTATAGCTAGTGCACTTGGTATCGTAGCTACACGAATTGACTTGAAGTCGCCAACTCGAAACTTATCATCAGCCTTTCTCTTCCAAAAAGCTGTAGTATCTCTCTCACACACAAACACATAAAAAGAGAGAGAAGGAACACACACAGAGATAAGAGAAACACACACCATATTTCTCTTCAGCTCATTCATCGATTATTAAAACAGATTATTTACATTACATTGTCAAAAAAATACATTTTCTTAAAAAAAATATCTTGTGCTACATTATTTAGACTACTTATTTCAAATTATTTAAGTTTAAATTTTAAAATATTTAATTTACCTCTATAATCAAGTAGATAATCCACGACTAAAATCGACTTAGTAATATAAGAGCTCGTGGGACAGCTTACGACTACAATAAGCAGTTGGTTGGTTGTTAGCTAGCTTCTAATTTATTTTTAAGATTCTACGAGTTACAATTATAAATTTTCAAAATCTAGAAAAAACTAAATTATTTGAAAAAAAAAATTGACTCTGGAAGAAACTACTGCTGCTAACAACTTCTGTAAACAAAGGCCTGGTTTAGTTCCCGACTTTTTCTTCAAACTTTCAATTTTTCCATCACATCAAAACTTTCCTACACACAAACTTCTAACTTTTCCATCACATCGTTCCAATTTCAATTAAACTTCTAATTTTAGCGTGAACTAAACCCAAAATCAAAGAGAGCCGAAGGAAGAGAGAGAAGAGACAGAGTGAATGAGATTAGGAGAGAGTTTGGCCTTCACACCAAATTTTCCCCCAACTCCTAACTTTCTATCACATCCAAAACTTTCCTATATATATAAACTTTCGACTTTTTTTCCAAACTATCAACTTTTCTTGAACTTTTTTCTAATTTCAGAAACTAAAACACATCCAAACTTTGTGTGTGTGTGTGTTGCTAGAGGCCAAAAGTTGATGGCAAAACCATGTCTGCACTCTGCACCTGCCTATCAGAATTCAGAAAGCATGCATCATCCAGTTTGTCTCTTACCACTTCCACTCTCGTGTCACTGTCCCTTGTGCTAAGCTAGCCCTAGAAAGCAGGCAGAGATCCCTAGCTACTACTACTACTACGCGTCTACGCCCTAGCTCAGCTCATGCTCCCTGCATTTTCGCGTTTGCTCTGCTACTGCTACTCCACTTCCATTTTTGCACAGTGCTATCCCTTCCTGAAATGCTTCTTCGTACATTCGCTCATCAATCGTTTAGAGAGATCATAGATCGACCGATCGATTGGTGACGGGATGATCAATCTGTTTCTCCTCCTGATGAGTGACACGATAGCAGGCAAATCGATAGATCGATCTAGCTAGCTGTCAGGTGAGTGTAGGAGAGAAATATTCAAGGCTCTGCACGCAGGTCAATCAATCAGTTCAGCTGTGATGAATATGAAGCAACCGGCATAGGGGTATACACCAAACAACTCTCAAGTTCTCCACATGCTCCGGTCACATTTTATACTCTTATCTTCTACTCGGTCCTAAAATAAACGCAGCAATAAATTTTCGTAAATTTTAAATTTTCGTAAAAGTCAATATTGTAAGATAAATTATGATAAAAAATTTCAAAATAAAATTTTAAATTTTAACGACGACTTATTATTAGTAGCGGCCCAAAACCATAGGCTTTTGATGAAGTGACACACAGGGTTTCCCAAATCGTTTTGGGTAGGTGTCACGTCCAGAAATTCCCGAATAGAATTCCAAGCAGAATGTGCATTAAAACCCCCCGTCCAGGACCGGCCGAGGTACACAAACGATAAAGTTGACATACAGATCCACGTCTTACAAACATTATAAAGTCTTACATAAATACAACGGAAAATTAACGGATAACTGGAGCTA